TGGTCCCCCCCCCGCGTCGCCTGCGCTTTGCCGAGCCTTAGCACCGCGGCACGGCGCGCGGAGGCCGATGCAAGAGCGATGCGATGCGCGCACGCGCGGCGCCACAACGAGTAGCCCCACCCCCCCGCAGAAACTTACCGACGCCTTGGCGATGCATAAATCAGCTCGACGCGAGGCGCGCGGAATAATTCGTTGCTGGGCGAGATCGCTGCCCGCGACGCGGCGCGCGAAGGCCGATGCATGGGCGATGCGACGCGTGCGCGCGCGAAGAACCCAGCTCGACGCGATGCGCGAGGAATAGTTCGTTGCTCGGCGAGCGCGCTCCCCGCGACGCGGCGCGCGAAGGCCGCGTCGACGAGGCGCAGCTGCGCCTTCCTCCGGGGGCTTCTCGGCGAGAGGCTCCCGGGGGAGGGGGGCTACTGGGCGGCCGTGGTCGCCCCGCCGCGCTTGCTCCGTGGCGCTTGAGCGCGCCGCGGAGTGACCGCGCGACGGGGCGGCCATATCCGCTCGGAAACCCAGGGGGCCATGTCCAGCCTCCACGGGGCGGCTCCTGGGGAAGGGCACGGGGGCGGCTCTCAACCCGAAAGGGTCGAGGTCGCGCCCGTATTTTTCGCGAAGGACAGTACTGACGCCATGCCTGGCATACCGAGGCCATGAACGTCTGCCACGAGTCTGGGCGAAGGGGGTACCCTGCACTTTCGCAGGCTCTCCCAGAACGCCACTCCCGGTACTCCGGGAGTTTGCAGATCCCCCCAGAACGCCATTCCTGGCGCTCCGAGGGCAAGGATCTGCGTGAGGGGTGCGTCCTGGGATTTTATCGGGCCAGAACGTCATTCCTGGCGCTCCGAGGCCAAGGATCTGCGTGAGGGGCGCGCCCTGGGATTTGCAGATCCTCCCAGAACGCCATTCCTGGCGCTCCGAGGGCAAGGATCTGCGTGAGGGGTGCGCCAAAATGATGGGGGGCGGCCGAAGGGGGGACTTTAGGGCGGCGGAAGGCATTTCAGGATTTATTTTTTTTTATAGGCTCTTAGTTTTTAGGGTTTAGGGTTTAGGGTTTAGGGTCCACTAGCCCATACTTGCAGCCCACTTGACCGTGTCCCACCCACCCATGACCCAATACATATTGATCTCGATGCGGTATCAACGCGCGACTCGCAAAACGACGACGAGGACGACACCGATGACGACGACGTTGATATTGTTTTCAAAACGACGACGACGCGGCCGCGCAAAGACACCTGGGACGCGGCTGCAACAGCGATGCGGCCCGCGCGCGTGACGACGCGATTTGAAGAACCACGCTTTCTGACGCGAGTCCCTGTGCGATGCGGGGGCGCCGCCCAGCGGCGGAGAGGTTGCACGCAATATCCACGTTTATTGACGCGAGTCCCTGTGCGACGCAGGGGCGCCGCCCAGCGGCGGCGAAGTTGCGCGCAGTGGTTGCCCAAGGCGCGCGGGATGACTCGTCGCCCCGAAGAGAGGGATCCCCCTGTGCATCCTCGGGGCTGCGCCGCGGCGCGCAAAGGCCGATGCAAGGGCGATGCGACGCGCGCGCGCGAAGCGACATCACATGCTCCCCGCGGCAACTTGGCGACGCCTTGGCGATGCATTGCGCAGCTTGACGCGAGGCGCTCGGGGCGAGTCGTTGCTGGGTGAGAGTCACCCCATGTTTGTTTCCTTGGCCCCGCGACGCGACGCGCGAAGGCCGATGCATTGGCGATGCGACGCGCGCGCGCGCGAAGCGACACAACGGGAAGGCCTCCCCCACGCTGGACCGCACCTGGCCGCTGCTTTGGCGATGCATAGCACAGCTTGGCGCGAGGCGCGCGGGATAGTTCGTTGCTTCCACGCGAGGGCCTCTTTGCGACTGACAAGCGCGCGACGGCCGATGCAACGGCGATGCGACGCGCGAGCGCGCGGAGAGCCAAACGGGGTAGGTCCCCGCGGCAGGCTGCCGACGCATTGGCGATGCGTCGCCCAGTTCGGCGCGCTCGCCATGGGATCGCGCTTCGCGGCGTCCGTCGAGCGCGGTTCGAGCTCTCCATCGCGCCCCCTGCTGCCCTCTTGGCCTCTTCGACGTCTGCCATGGACGCCATGGGTCTGCTCGGCTCTCCGGCCCGCGCTGCCTCCGCCGACGCCGGCGAGAAGTGCGCGTTCGAGCCCCCCGCGCGGGAGGAGCGGCGCGAGAAGCTTCACCGGGCAGACCATGTCTGCTTCGCGCTCCTTGACCACGAGGGGGAAACGGTGGTGGACAAGGCGCGGCGGCGAGGAAGCAAGGAGGGGTCGCGTGCGCGAGCATTGGTGCGTTCCCCTGGGGCGGGGGAGCGATCGCGCGTGAGCGCTCTGCTGTTCCATGCGGTGCGCCGCGCGCGTGGCCCGCGTCGGCCACCGCGTCAGGACTCCTGGGTTGTCGTCGCGCGCGACCCCCCCCCCCCCGCTTTCTCGGCGTCGCCCAGGTGCCCCTCGACAAGCTCTGGGAGGCCGCGGCCCAGGGCTCCCACTGGGCGGCCGCCCGCGCCAACCTGTCCAGCGAGTCTGAGTATCGCGTTGGCGTCGGGGTGAGCCAGACCGCGGGAGCCCTGGCGGTCGCGGTGCGCAGACTGCAGCAGGATGCCGGGCTCAAAGCGGTGCTCCAGAAAAAGTACCTGGAGAAGGCATTGGCCGAGGGCAACGCGTTGCTGCCGCACTTGGACAGGCTGAACCGCGGCCACGGCACGGAGGCCTCGAGCGCTAAGGACAAGGGGGGCCTCAGTTTCGCGAAGGTCAAGGCTGCCGCGGGCTCCTCGGCCGGCGGGGGCGGGGGCGGGGGCGGGGGCGGCGGCGCCGCCGCCCCGCCCGAGCCAGACGAGCTCAAGGCGTCGGCGAAAGCGGTCCACGAGTGGCTGTCGCAGCCGCAGAGCGCCCTGCGCGGGCTGCTGAGCATCCTGGCCAGCGGGGGCGTCTTTTGGGTTGGGCATTCTTTCGAGAAGGTGGCGCGGGCCGGGGTGCTCCACAAGCCCCTGAGCCTCGAGGACTTCACCAGCGCCGTCGCGGCCCGCAGCGCCGGCGCCGCGGCCGGTCAGGCGCCGCTCGGCCGCGGGGTTGGCGATTCGCACGGCCTCCTCGCGCCGTGAGATCCCCCGCGCCCGTGGCTGCCCGCTCCGCAGCCCCCCCGCGCGCTTGGCCGGGACCAGTGCCAGGCTTGCCGTGAATGCCCTGCGAGCGCCGCCAGCGATGCACCGCTGCATGAGCGTCGTCCCCCGCGCGCCTGGCCGGGGCCAGTGCCAGTGCGCGCCGCGCTTACCTCTCGGCGGCTGCCAGCACCCTGCGAACGCCGCCAGCGATGCACCGCTGCATGAGCGTCGTCCCCCGCGCGCCTGGCCGGGGCCAGTGCCAGTGCGCGCCGTGCTTACCTCTCGGCGGCCGCCAGCGTCACACTGTTGTCATATTCTTCCGCGATCAAAACAAAGACATCGACCGATCACGAGCGCCGTTTGCCAGGAAGGGGAACGTCCCAGGCGCTGCTCTCGAGGGGGGGGGGGGGGGGCGACGGCGGGGCCGAGGGCCCTGGGGAAACACTCGGTGATAGGGACGACCCCCCCCCCCCAAAGCAAAGATGCATTGGCGATGCTTCTGCAGCGCTGCGCTCCGTCATCCGACACGACGCGCGATGGCATCGGCGATGCGCGTCGCATGTTAGCAATATGGATCTTCGCGGCCGGGACGCATCGGCGACGCAGCCTCGGCATCGGGCCCCCTTCAACGGACGCGCGTGCGCGGTGACATCGGCAATGCGCAAATCGGTTCCGCGGTCTCCCAGCTTCGCGCGAGTGGGCGACGGTCTTTGCCAAACGCGACGTCCTTACCCACCGAATGCTCCCTGCGGCAAGCGCGCTGTCAGAGAGGGGCGGCGCGTCGCGTTGAGGGGCCACGACCGTTTTCGCGCGCTGCTTGCGCGTCGCTTGTACGTGTAAAGATTTGGTTGCGATCGCGCGGGCACGCTGGCTCCTTCTGCCGCGAGCTTCCGCGACGGGCGGGTCGCGATTTTCATTCGCCGCCGCGGGTGGTTTGAGAGGCGCGCAGGATGTGGATGGCGCGCGCGCGGGCGCAGCACGCCGACAGGGCCGCGTTTCTTTGCTTGGCAGCAGATTGTAGACGCGATTTGAATAATAACGTAATAGACGCGCGTCCCTGCGCGTCGCAGGGACACCGCCCAGCGGCGGTTAGTTCTCATGGAATTGCGGAGCGTCGCACGCGCGGAATAGTTCGCTGCTTCGAGGCGAGAGGTCCGCATGGGCTTCCTCGACACCGCGCCGCGGAGCGCGATGGCCGATGCAAGGGCGATGCGATGCGCGTACGCGAAGCGCAGCACCGATGCCTTGGCGATGCATGCCCCAGCTTGACACGGGGCGCGCGAGACGGTTCTTGGCTTGGGGGCAGAGCCCCCAAGTTTGTTTGCGTCGCACCGCGACGCGGCGCGCGAAGGCCGATGCAAAGGCGATGCGACGCGCGCGCGCGCGGAGCGACAAAACGGGCGGCATCGCGCGGCACCTTGCCGATGCGTTGGCGATGCATAGACCAGCCAGACGCGAAGCGCACGGGGTGGCTCGTTGCATCCCTGAGGGGGGACCCCCCCGTTTGCATCGTTGGAACTGCGACGCGGCGCGCGCAGGTCGATGCAAAGGCGATGCGACGCGTGCACGAGGACAAAACGGGTATCTTCCCGCAGCGTCTGGTCGACGCCTTGGCGATGCATAACGCAGCGCGGCCCGTCGCTGTGGAGGCGGGCCATGAGAGGCCAGCGCGCTCCCACGAGCCCCCCCTCCCTGAGCACCGTCTTGGTAGCCTCCTGGGTCAGCCTAGCACCGCCTTGGGCCCCCCAACGGGCTGAGGCTCCCAAGCGCGTCCTTGGTGGGGCAGAGCACCGCCCCCCTGGCTCTCTTCTCTCCGTAGCCATTAGGGCTGTAGAGGATTGCTCACGCGAGCCTTGCCCACTGGACCCGCCTCGCGGGCGCGCCGATATGGCTCGCCTGGCTCGCAAGCGCCCAGCGGCGGCCATCGAGGCGCCCGCGTCCTTTGGCGCAGCCGGCGGTCTTCGCCGGCGTCGGCGGGTCGCGGCGGCTGGGCCCGCGCAGGCCCCGCGCCGAGTGACTCTCGGGCCCGCGGAGCACGCGCGCATCGCGGAGGCGGTGCGGGGCGGCGCGACAGTGGGCGACCTCGTCAGGGACTTCGGGGTGAGTTAGCGGCGCGGGCGGGCGTTGCGCAGCCAGTGCGGCTGCCAGGGCGCGGCGCCACTGACGCCGAATCGGGCCCCAAGGGCCGCTGCGCCGCCGCCGCGGGCCGCGCGCCGCGCGCGTGGCAAGCAGGCGGCGGCAGCAGCTGCGCGAGGACGGTCGCGGAGCCGAGTGACGCTGGGAGCCGCGGAGCACGCGCGGATCGCGGAGGCAGTGCGGGGCGGCGCGCGGACGGGCGACCTCGCGAAGGATTTCGGCTTGAGCAAAAGCCGGGCGAAGGCTTTGCGCGCCTTGTACGGAGCGCAGGGCGCCGCGCCACTGACCCCAGACCGACTGACCGCGCGCGTCGCCCAAGCGGTGCGAGCCGGCGCGACCAGGGCCACGCTCAGCGCTGCTGACCACGCACGCGTCGCCGAAGCGGTACGGGACGGAGCTGGCCCGAGCGATCTGAGGAGGGACTTCGGCTTGAGCGCGCGCCGGGCGCGGGAGTTGCGCCTCCAGTACAGTGCCGAGGGGGCCGCGCCGATGGCGCCCTCGCGGGCACCGCGTCGGGCGCGCCGCGCCGACGCCGCCTCGACTTGGCTGACCGAATCGAACCGCTGCTTCGCTGTGGGCGCTGGACGCCCGCCGAGGCCGGTGGAGGAGCTGAGCGGAGGCCCCGCGGAGGATGCTGAGGCGCCCGACGGCATTCGCCGAGGCCGGCGCTGGATGGCACTCGGGTCCTGGACGTTCTGCCCTCGTTGCGGCCGCCGCAACGCGACTGGGCCGTGGGCGGCCATGGCGGCCACGGGCTCTGTCGAGACCGCCGCCGCGGCCTGCCCCGGCGGGTGCGACCTGCCGCCGTCGGCGATGGAGCGCGCCGCCCCCCGGCGCTTGGCACCTCGGTCTGCGTGCGTGGACGCCGGTGAGTGGGCAGCAGCGGTGGCCGAGGCGGAATGGGTCGCGTGCACGCAGTGCAGCGGCGTTTGGCACTGGGGCAAGCCCGTCGACGCGCCCCCGGGCGCCAGCGAGTCCGGCCGCGTGGTGCACTGCGGCGCGTGCGCCAGCTGCAAGGCCGCCGCGGCGCAGCCTCGCTCGGGCACCGCGAAGTACTACGTGATGCCGGCCGCGAGCGACTGGCCCGTCTACGACGCGAGCGCCGGGGCGTTCCGCGCGGCGGCGGGCGACGAGGGAGCGGCCCAGCGATGCGTTTTTGAGCTGGCGGAGGAGGAGGCCGCGTCGCTGCCTATCATTGACTCGCAGCGCGACTACACCTCTGTGCGGGGCGGCCGCGCGCCGACGGCCTGCAAGAAGAAGACCAGCGTGGTCCGGGCCCGGTGGCGCGCGCGCGATGTCCAGGCGGGCCTGCCCACCCCGCGAGCGCGGGCAGCCTTCGCGTGGCTCATGGAGCACTCGGAGGCCTACCGGCGCTACTACGAGATGCACCTGCAGAAGCTCGCAGCCCTGCAGGAAGCGGGCGAGGGGGCGCGCTGGATCTACACCGCGGAGCTCCTCCTCCGGATGCCCGGGGTCGAGGCGGCGGCTCGGCCCGTCCTGTGCCCGACGTCCGCCTTTGGCGATTCCGAGCTGCGCCCGCGCCTGCGCGCCCTGAACCTCGCCGCGGAGAACGGGAAGCCGAGCATCAAGGCGAGCTTCATGCGGAAGCTGCGCAGCCGGTGCGTGGCCTACCAGACGGACTTCCCTTTGTTCGCGCTGCTCTACGATATCGCGCTGGCGCGGCAGCTGTCCTCCCTGGTCGCGATTGCCAAGCAGCAGCGCGTTGCCCCGGACGAGGCGGCCGGGGAGATGCAGAACTTCTCGGGCTTCTGGCAGTGGGAGCGGGAGAAGTTGGAGGACGTCTGCAGGCAGATGGCGGAGCACCCGGAGTACGTGGCCTCGTTTCAGCGGCCGGGAGCTGCCCGCGACGGAGTCCGAGTGGAAGCGTGGGCTCCCGAACGTCTTCATGACGATCGCCCCGGCCGAGTGGAAGACTTTGCTACACGACGGTATGTTTGCGCGCGTGCGCGAGGCCTCTGACTTGACTGAGCTGCAGCCCGCCCTGACGCTGCACTTGTACCACACCATCACGACGCTGTTTGAAAAGGTCGTTCTCGCGAGCCCGTCCGAGTGCGGCTTCAAGCGCGTCTTCCAATACGTTCTCCGCATCGAGTTCCAGGGGCGGGGCACGCTGCACGTGCACGTGCTGGCGTGGGTCGAGTTCGATACAAAGGCGAACATCTTCGGCTGCGCTCCCAGCATGACCGGGCGCTCCCCGGGGGGTACGGACCCTGGCATTGTGCCCGAGGACCCTCGCCCGCTGCGCTTCCTGGAGAAACTCTTCGCTGGATCCGCGGACGCGCAGTGCAACAATGGCCACCACAACTTCTTGAACTATGTCACAAGCTACGAGATGAAGGGCTCGGACGCCCTGCAATTCCAATCGCGCGAGAGCGAGGCGGAGCACTGCAGCGCCTGGCGGCAGACCTATCGCTTGCTCTGCAAGAAGGCCCCTCTGGAGCTTGAGATGACGGTGGAGTTCGCCACGAAGCCACTCATGCTTGCCAACTACCGCGGGAGGCACCTGTACGCGCCGCTCCCGCGCGACAGGACGGCGCCGGACGAGTCGCGCGTAAACGACGGCGAATTGTTGTACAGGGCGTACTTGGAGCGCGACCTCCGCGAGGAAGTGGCCCTGGCCATCGGCGACGTGCGGCCCAGCCGGGAGCTCTCATACATCCAGTGGGCCAGGGAGCGGAATATCCACAATGGGCGCGCGGCGCCGTCGCAGCCGCGCCGGGGCAGGGGCGCCGACAAGTCTATGCAGGCGCTGGCCGTGCGATTCCCGTTCGAACTCCTGGACAACTTCGTCGGCGCCTGGTGCGCGATGTTCCTCCCGCACGCGGCCGACTCGGACGCGCTGCGGGCTGCCATGAGCGAGGGCGTGCCCGTTCTGCCCGCGAAAGCCCTGTGGCCCGCGGACGACGCAGCGGCCGGCGCGCGGTTCCTCAAGGCGGCCCTGGTGGCGGCGCAGGACAATTTCGACAACGACGAGGCGGCAAACCCGGGGTTGCTGCAGGAAGTGGTCAAGGACATGGTGCTGCGCGGCCTCAAGACCGCTCGCATCCGCACGTTCGTGGCGAGGCTGCGCGCCTGTCGGCTCCTGATCCGCCGGATCGACGCCGTGGAGGACGTGGACGCGCGCCGGAGAGCCGTGGCGGCGTGGGACCTCAGGAAGGCGCGCTGGGTGGAGAAGCTCATCTGGTCCCCCGAGCAGAACCGGGTCCTGGACGCGGTGAAGGCTGGCGTCGAGGTGGCGGACGCCAACGTAGCGCCGATGTCGCGCTTCATGCTGGTCACCGGCGGGCCTGGGACCGGCAAGACGTCCGTGGTGCTGCAGTGCGCCATCGACGCCGCGTCGACGGGCTGCCGGGTCCTGATCGCTTGCAAGCCCATCGGCGCGCTGGTGAGCGTGTACCGGCAGCAGCTCCCGCCCGGCCTTGACATTGTTGTGGAGACGATCCACAGCAGCTTCAAGATCACGCGGAAGGCCGACGCGCAATACGTCCCACCCGGCAGGCTGCGGCACTTCGACCTCCTGGTCTTCGACGAATGCTCGCAGCCGGAGGACCGCGTGTGGCGGGAGATGCGGACGGCGCTGCGCGAGCTGAGCCCCGGGCCCTTCGTGGTCTTCGTCGGGGACTTCCAGCAGCTGCAGCCCATCCACGGCGCCTCGGTCACGCAGAGCTCGCTCCTCGCGCAGGCCCGGCAGGGGGAGATGCGGCACGTGGAACTGCAGCAGCGCCCCTTCGCCCGATGCACTGACGCGCCGATGCTCGACTTCTTGTCCTACGCGCGGGAGCGCCAGCCGACGCGGGGCATGCTTGCGCACTTCTTCCAGGGCCGCCGCCTGCGCCGGGGCGGGGCCCAGGCCGTCCAGCACGCGATGGCCATGGAGAAGGACCGCGCGGGCAAGCACTTCACGTTCCTGACCGTCACGAACGCCGCGGCGCGCGCCCTGAATCTCCTTCGCCTCCGGATGGAGTTCGGCATCGACGAGGAGGAGCTGGACGCCCACGGCGTGCCCGGCGACCCTGGCGCCGGCGGGGGCCGCATGATCTTCCGGAAGGGCATGCGCTTGCGGCTGACACTCAACATCGACAAGGACCGGGGCTTCGTGAACGGATGCCTCGGCCACGTCGAGGAGGTCCTCTCGGTCCAACCGCCCGTGCTCGTGCTCCGCACCACGGAGAACACGCGGCCGCTTGTCCACTACGTATTCGCGGACGGGCAGAAGTTCATGCCGTGCACGTACGGCTGGGCGATGACGATCCGCCGCTCCCAGGGCAGCACGCTGGACATGGGCGCCATCTGCTTCGACAGGACGCGGAGGGCGCCAACCGCGGGCAGGCGACACGGGCATGCCCGTCCAGGGCCCAGGATCGGCGCGGCGGCCCGCCTCCGCCGCCGCTTAGACCAAGCGCGTCGGTCCTCGACCCAGGAGGGACTTGCCCTGGTCGCTCAGGCCCACGGTCGACCCCCCCCCAAGGAAGCGGCCGGACCGAGGCTACGCGTACGTCGCGCTGTCGCGGTTTCGCACGCGAGACTCGGTCTTCTTGCTGGGGCGCATCCGCGCGACGGACTGGCTGCCCGTCGGCGGGGGCCCCAGCGCGGAGCAGACCTGCCCAGGCTTCCTCAGCGACTCCGACGCCAGCGAAGACGATATGGGCGCGGAGTCAGAGGCCTCGGAGGAGGACAGTGGGCGCCCCGAAGAGGACGCGGCATCGGGCGGCGGCGGCCTGGACACCGATTCTGCCTGCTGTTCCGACGCGCGCTCGGACAGCGTGGACCCCGCTCTGGGTTGCTTCTCGGACTGGAGCTCCGACGCGCACTCGGAGAGCGTGGATCCCGCCTTGGGCGACAGTCTGGTCTGGTCCTCGGACGAAGAGAGCGTCGACCCCGCGAAGGCGCTGAACTCCGTCGGGTGGCCCCTGGTCGTCGACGCCACGGAGCCGCCCGCGCCCGACGCCGCCGTGGCCAGCGCGGGCAGCGACTCAGACGGCGGCTGCAGCGGCGCCGCGTCGCCACCGCCGTCGCCCTTGGTCGCCGACTGCCCTGCGCCCGAGCCGGCCGAGGGGCGCCCGGCGTCGCCACCAGAGCCCGGCTTGGCGCTGGGCTGGGACGACGCGGCCGGCGCGTGGGCCCCGGTGGCGCCCATCCGGCACTACTGGGCGTCGGAGGCGGGACTTTAGGCCAGGATGGGCTCGGTATCCCGGGGGAACCAAAAAGTGCATCATCGCAATCGATCCCCTCTTCTGCTCGCCCAAGCGCTCGCGCGGCGAAGGGAAGCGACGCCCTCGCGCCACCTCCCCAGACGCCTTCCTGGCCTCCATGCCCAGCGCGCGCGGGATCGCGCGGGACAGGGCTGGGAGAGCGCCAGGGGGGTTGCGGGGGGCGTTGTCATCACTCGCCGTCGCTGGCGCTTGGTCGAGCCCTCCGCCCTCGCCCATACGTCGCCCTCTTGCGTTCGCCCAGGCGCGCGCGAAGCGGGAGGAAGCGACGCCCCCCCACGCCGCCCGCCGGATGCTTCCCTGGCCGCCATGCCCAGCGCGCACGCGCTGGGCGGGGCCGGGAGAGCACCACAGGGGGGGGGCGGGGGCGTGGTCTCCCCCCCGCGTCGCCTGCGCTTGGCCGAGCCTTAGCGCCGCGGCACGGCGCGCGGAGGCCGATGCAAGAGCGATGCGATGCGCGCACGCGCGGCGCCACAACGAGTAGCCCCACCCCCCCGCAGAAACTTACCGACGCCTTGGCGATGCATAAACCAGCTCGACGCGAGGCGCGCGGAATAACTCGTTGCTGTGCGAGATCGCTGCCCGCGACGCGGCGCGCGAAGGCCGATGCATGGGCGATGCGACGCGTGCGCGCGCGAAGAACCCAGCTCGACGCGATGCGCGAAAAATAGTTCGTTGCTCGGCGAGCGCGCTCCCCGCGACGCGGCGCGCGAAGGCCGCGTCGACGAGGCGCAGCTGCGCCTTCCTCCGGGTGCTTCTCGGCGAGAGGCTCCCGGGGGAGGGGGGCTTCTGGGCGGCCGTGGTCGCCCCGCCGCGCTGGCTCCGTGGCGCTTGAGCGCGCCGCGGAGTGACCGCGCGACGGGGCGGCCATATCCGCTCGGAAACCCAGGGGGCCATGTCCAGCCTCCACGGGGCGGCCCCTGGGGAAGGGCACGGGGGCGGCTCTCAACCCGAAAGGGTCGAGGTCGCGCCCGTACCTTTCGCGAAGGACAGTACTGACGCCATGCCTGGCATACCGAGGCCATGAACGTCTGCCACGAGTCTGGGCGAGGGGAGTACCCTGCACTTTCGCAGGCTCTCCCAGAACGCCACTCCCGGTACTCCGGGAGTTTGCAGATCCTCCCAGAACGCCATTCCTGGCGCTCCGAGGGCAAGGATCTGCGTGAGGGGTGCGTCCTGGGATTTATCGGGCCAGAACGCCATTCCTGGCGCTCCGAGGCCAAGGATCTGCGTGAGGGGCGCACCCTGGGATTTGCAGATCCTCCCAGAACGCCATTCCTGGCGCTCCGAGGGCAAGGATCTGCGTGAGGGGTGCGCCAAAATGATGGGGGGCGGCCGAAGGGGGGACTTTAGGGCGGCGGAAGGCCTCTCAGGATTTAAATCTTTATAGGCTCTTAGTTTTTAGGGTTTTGGGGTTTGGGTTTAGGGTTAGGGTTAGGGTTAGCGTTAGGGTTAGGGTTAGGGTTAGGGTCGACGACGGCGACGGCGACGGCGACGTCGACGCCGTTGTGGCCGTTGTCGTCGGCCTCGTCGTCGTCGTCGCCGCCGCCGTCGCCGTCGCCGTCGCCGTTGTCGTCGTCGGCCTCGTCGTCGTCGTCGCTAGGGTTTAGGGTTTAGGGTCCACTAGCCCAAACTTGCAGCCCACTTGACCGTGTCCCACCCACCCATGACCCAAGACATATTGATCTCGATGCGGTATCAACACGCGACTCGCAAAACGACGACGAGGACGACACCGATGACGACGACGTTGATATTGTTTTCAAAACGACGACGACGCGGCCGCGCAAAGACACCTGGGACGCGGCTGCAACGGCGATGCGGCCCGCGCGCCACGGCGCGCGGAGGCCGATGCAAGAGCGATGCGATGCGCGCACGCGCGGCGCCACAACGAGTAGCCCCACCCCCCCGCAGAAACTTACCGACGCCTTGGCGATGCATAAACCAGCTCGACGCGAGGCGCGCGGAATAATTCGTTGCTGGGCGAGATCGCTGCCCGCGACGCGGCGCGCGAAGGCCGATGCATGGGCGATGCGACGCGTGCGCGCGCGAAGAACCCAGCTCGACGCGATGCGCGAGGAATAGTTCGTTGCTCGGCGAGCGCGCTCCCCGCGACGCGGCGCGCGAAGGCCGCGTCGACGAGGCGCAGCTGCGCCTTCCTCCGGGAGCTTCTCGGCGAGAGGCTCCCGGGGGAGGGGGGCTTCTGGGCGGCCGTGGTCGCCCCGCCACGCTGGCTCCGTGGCGCTTGAGCGCGCCGCGGAGTGACGGCGCGACGGGGCGGCCATATCCGCTCGGAAACCCAGGGGGTCATGTCCAGCCTCCACGGGGCGGCCCCTGAGGAAGGGCACGGGGGCGGCTCTCCACCCGAAAGGGTCGAGGTCGCGCCCGTGCCTTTCGCGAAGGACAGTACTGACGCCATGCCTGGCATACCGAGGCCATGAACGTCTGCCACGAGTCTGGGCGAGGGGAGCACCCTGCACTTTCGCAGGCTCTCCCAGAACGCCACTCCCGGTGCTCCGGGAGTTTGCAGATCCTCCCAGAACGCCATTCCTGGCGCTCCGAGGGCAAGGATCTGCGTGAGGGGTGCGTCCTGGGATTCTATCGGGCCAGAACGCCTTTCCTGGCGCTCCGAGGCCAAGGATCTGCGTGAGGGGCGCGCCCTGGGATTTGCAGATCCTCCCAGAACGCCATTCCTGGCGCTCCGAGGGCAAGGATCTGCGTGAGGGGTGCGCCAAAATGATGGGGGGCGGCCGGAGGAGGGACTTTAGGGCGGCGGAAGGCCTTTCAGGATTTAAATCTTTATAATATGCTCTTAGCTTTTAGGGGTTAGGGTCTAACAGGGCAAGGCCAGGAAAACCTACCTGCATAGGCACTCACCTGCGGTGGCTATCAATCCCCCCCGCATCTCCACCCCCACATAAAGATCATCTCTCCTCTCATGTTGCACCGTGGCTGTAGCATAGCATAGCATGGCAGAGCAAGCGCTTAGCGGGAGGCTTCGCGCCACGCGGGAGAGTGAACCCCTACGGCAGGGTGAGGGTGTGCACCACGCGGGAGAGTGAATCCCGACGGCAAGATGAGGGTTCGCACCACGCGGGAGAGTGAATCCCTACGGCAGGGTGAGGATTTGCACCACGCGTGGCAGCAGTTCCCTATGAGAAACTAAAGGATTTTCGCTGCGAGGCGCGCGCGGCAGCCTACGGCTGCATGGGCGACCCAGTCTGGCAACCAGCTGACGCTTCTCAGAGATGCCCTGTCTCTCGTAGACGGCAACGGCGATGCGCGGTGGGTGGGCAGAAGCACAACGAGGTGCTTGGGAATTTAGGTTTTAGGGCTTCTCTTAGCGCAGCGGCCGACAGTCCAGGCAATGCTGCCCCCCCTTCGGCAAGCTTGATTGGGGGGGCGGTTAGCCGACCCGAGCAAGCTTGGCGAAGGGGGCAGGAGGTGCAACATCTTCCCACCCCCGGCCGCATGGCCGGCAACCTCCCGAACTAGAGCCTTTTAGGGTTTAGGGCCGTTGGCCCCTAAATTCCCAAATGCGTTCCAAGCGCTCCCAGGCGCTCCCAGGCGCTCCCAGGCGCTCCCAAGCGCTCCCAGGCGCTCTCAGTCAAGCGCTCCCATTCGCTCCCAGGCGCTGCCAAGCGCTCCCGGCGCGTTCCGAAGCGCTCCCTGGCAATCCCAAGGCGCTCCCAGGCGCTCCCAGGCGCTCCCAGGCGCTCCCGGCGCATTCCCAAGCGCTCCCGGGCGCTCCCAGACGCATCCAAGCGCTCCTTGGCGCTCCCAAGCGCTCCCAGGCGCTCCCGGCACGCTCCCAGGCGCTCCCGCGCGCTCCCAGGCGCTCCCAGGCGCTCCCAGGCGCTCCCAAGCGCTCCCAGGCGCTTTCAGGCGCTCCCAGGCGTTCCCAGGCGCTCCCAGGCGCTCCCAGGCGCTCCCAGGCGCTCCCAGGCGCTCCCAGGCGCCCCCGGGCGCTCCCAGGCGCTCCCAGGCGCCCCCAGGCGCCCCCCGGCGCTTCGAAGAAAAGGTCTTCGGGTTTAGGGTGTTATATTCGTTGAGGATCAGGGGAGGTTTATCATTGAAGCGCGAATCCCCAAAAGAGGGGGAGGGCAGCAGCAAAAGCTGCCAAGGCGACCCACTCGGGCAACATGCTCAAGCATCTCAGAGATGCCCTGTCTCTCGTAGACGGCGACGGTGATGCGCGGTGGGGTGGGCAGAAGCACAACGAGGTGCTTGGGAATTTAGGGTCTGCGTTGGCGCAAGCGCGCGCTGGCTGCGATCCCCCCCACATCAAGGTTGTTGGGGGGGATCGCTGCCCAAGCCGCGCGCGCCACGGTTAGTCGCACTCCCGCCCCAGACCACCCAGAGTGAAGCCTTTTAGGGTTTAGGGCTTCTCCCCCCAACCCCCCTATCATGGGGGGCTGTCGAAGTGGCGCGCGCAGGCGATCGCCAACGCGGCCGTGGCACTGCGCATCCACGTGAGCACGCGCGCAGGGCGCGTGGCGTAGGCGGCGCTTTGGCTCGTCGCCCCGTCGAAGAGGCAGCCGTTGGCGATGCCGGCGATTAGCTTCGCCGTTGGGCTGCCGCTGGCGCAGCATGTCCATGCGTTGTCGCCTTTGCCTTCGGCGCTGGGTTGTGACACTGGGCTGCGAATGCTGCTGGGAAGCGCGCGCGCGGCCGCGGCCGTAGCAATGCGCGCCGATGCGAGCACGCGCGCAGGGTGCATGGCGCTGGCGCGCCAGCTCGCCTCGTCGATGAGGCAGCCGTTTGCGCCTTCGGCGTGGAGCTTCGCCGTTGGGCTGCCGCTGGCGCAGCAGATCCACAGGGGTCTGGCATTTGCCGTCGGCATTGGAAAGCAGCACTGCAAGGGCGCTGGCGTGACAACACTATGGGTTCCCCTGCGCCTCAAGCGAGTGGTTGCGCCGTCGGGCTCCTCGCTGACGGCGACGCGCACGGCAGTTGCATTC